CGAATACGCTCTTGTGAAAAACTGAGCTGTTCATAATAATAGAGAAATCTGTACAGCATTGAGAATGAACTGATAAACAAACTGACACCCACAGTAACTCATACGTGAAAACTAATAACCAAATCTCACTAATTAAACAGCTATTCTAATACAATTCCAATAAATAGAAAATTATAGTTTATTATTTAGCCTCTTAAACTCCTTGAGACCACCGGTGGTTCCAAAACGCACTTCATCATATTCTTCATAAGTTTCATATTTCATAAGCTACATTCTAAAGGTGGGGGTCGTATGAGAGCTGTAACTGTCTTCTTTCCAGTCAAATAGATGGGTGATGTCATTTTAAACCCTTATAATAAAAGAAGCTGAACTCACAATTTTTTATTTCTACTGAAAGTCGACCCATTTTTCCACAAATCTGGGCTATAAACTATAAACAGATGGCGTCTCTTCAGTGATCTGCTCTGTAAACATTATTTTTATAAGATAATACAAAGAGCGTCTAAGATTTTTGGCTTTCAGCAGTAAATTGTAAGCATATAGCAATATGTGTATCATAAAACACATTCTGTTAATTTGAGGGGAGCTAACACCCCACTAACACACACTAACACCCCACTAACACTCACTAACACCCCACTAACACACACTAACACCCCACTAACACTCACTAACAAATAATCACTAACACCCCACTAACACACACTAACAAATAATCACTAACACTCACTAACACACACTAATAAACACTCACTAACACCCCACTAACACTCACTAACACACACTCACTAACACCCCAATAACACCATACTAACACTCACTAACACACACTAACACACACTAACACCCCACTAACACTCACTAACACCACACTAACACCCCACTAACACTCACTAACACCACACTAACACCCCACTAACAAACACTAACACACCACTAACATACACTAACACCCCACTAACACACACTAACACACACTAACACACCACTAACACCCCACTAACACCACACTAACACCCCACTAACACTCACTAACACCCCACTAACACTCACTAACACACCACTAACACTCACTAACACACACTCACTAACACTAACAAACACTCACTAACACCCCACTAACACTCACTAACACACCACTAACACTCACTAACACACACTCACTAACACTAACAAACACTCACTAACACCCCACTAACACTCACTAACACACACTCACTAACACTAACAAACACTCACTAACACCCCACTAACACTCACTAACACTCCACTAACACTCACTAACACACACTCACTAACACTAACAAACACTCACTAACACCCCACTAACACTCACTAACACTCACTAACACACACTCACTAACACCCCACTAACACTCACTAACACACACTCACTAACACTAACAAACACTCACTAACACCCCACTAACACTCACTAACACACCACTAACACTCACTAACACACACTCACTAACACTAACAAACACTCACTAACACCCCACTAACACTCACTAACACACCACTAACACTCACTAACACACACTCACTAACACTAACAAACACTCACTAACACCCCACTAACACTCACTAACACTCCACTAACACTCACTAACACACACTCACTAACAAACACTCACTAACACCCCACTAACACTCACTAACACACACTCACTAACACCCCACTAACACTCACTAACACTCCACTAACACACACTCACTAACAAACACTCACTAACACCCCACTAACACTCACTAACACACCACTAACACTCACTAACACACACTCACTAACAAACACTCACTAACACTCCACTAACACTCACTAACACACACTCACTAACACTCCACAGGCTCAGGACCAGAACATAACCAGCAAATCTGGTTCTGATCTGAACCAAATTACAAAACAGCTCAAACAGAATTATCTCCCCTATTGGGAAACCGAGTCAGACTCACAGAGTAAAATGCAGTGTTATTTGGCCCTAAAACGTCAGTACAGCATAACAGATTACGTGACCACACTGACTGACCCTAAACTGAGGTCCACCTTGACGAAGTACAGACTCAGTCAGCACCGCCTGGCCGTAGAGACGGGCAGACACAGGAAATCTTGGCTACCGAAAGATCAAAGACTGTGCCAGCAGAATAGGCCTGAGACAGAGCTGCACTTTCTGACTGAATGTGCAAAATTTACTCACATTAGAACAGAATTCTTCAGTAAAATCACCAAAACATGTCCTGTATTTGAGAATCTTCCCCCCACAGAGAAGCTGCCGCACGTTCTATAAGAACATAGAGTTCTGCACACTGGCAGCGCAGTACGTTCACACCTGCCACACTCTGAGGGACAGTGAGTGACCACACCATGTCAGAGATACACACCCACAAACAATTGAATTGAATTGAATTGAGAGAGAACAGAGACAAGGAGAGAGACAGAGAGAGAACAGAGAGAGAACAGAGACAAGGAGAGAGACAGAGAGGGGGTGGGGAAGACAAAGAAAGAGAGAGAAAGAGAACAACAGAGAGAAAACAGAGAGAGAACAGAGAAAAGGAGAGAGAGAGAGAACAGAGAGAAACAAGGAGAACAGAGAGAGAGAGAAAGAGACAGAGAGTAAACAGAGAGAAACAACAGATAGAGAGAAAAGAGAGAGAGAGAGAGAGAGAGAGAGAGAGAGAGAAAGGGTGGGGTAGGAAAGCCAAAGATAGAGAGAGAAAGAGAGCAGCAGATAGTGAGACCGAAAGAAAGAGTGGTCAGGAAACGTCCGTTAAACCACAATATAACTGACTGTTTCTCAGCTTTTTCATCACCCAAAACCTCCACACTGTGTCTGAAGTGCGAATGGGCTGTAAGTGTGAGGTTTGTTTGTGTAGAAATAAAGCTCACAGTAAGTCACTCAGGTGGATTCAGGATTCAGCGTGTGGAAGGTGTCGACTGAGGGATTTCATTTTTGTGTTGTTAATGTTTTTGATCTTTATGGAGTAAAGTTTGTGCTAAATTGAAGGTTTCCACGTGACACTTGGAACACAAGCTGTCCCGAAAAACGTGATCAGCACCGTGCGATAGCTTTTTGGGCCAGTTTGAGGAGCAGATCAGATGCATTCTGCCCTTTTGATGATGTTATGAAGTTTATGGTCTTGCGCATGAAAAAGTTCAGCTGATTATATATTGTGCTCAATTTACTGAAGTTTGAAATTAAAGTTTTCATACAAATGGTTGCTATGACAACGTTAAGTGGTTTCTAGGTTGTTGCTGGGGCATTGGTAGGTGGTAGTTAGTGTTTTTTTGTTGATTTCCAGGTGTTGCTAAGTGGTTGCTAAGGTTGTTGCTAGGGTGTCACTAGGAGGGTGTTGTAATGTTCCAGGTGATTGCTAGGATGTGTCTAAATGGTTCATGCTATTCCAGGTTATTGCTAGGGTGTTGCTATGCAGTTGCTATAGTGTTTTTGATGTGGTCCGTAGGATATCTCTCATATTTTATCCTAGATTGCTTCAGGTGTGTGTAAGTGGTTGCTGTCATATCTTTGGTGGTTGCTAGGGTGTTGCTTTGGTATCTCTAGTTATTTCTAGGGTGTTATGTGCATAGATGAGAACAGAGTTCAGAAAAGACAAACTCAGGGTGGGACCTGCATGTAAGAAAAGTGATTCAGACAAGCGCTTCCTCTTTTCTGTCTGGGAACTGATGTGTTTCTGTGTGTGTTTGAGTCTGTTAAGCGTTCAGGATCCTTTCTGCAGTTTCATTTTGCCTGTTGCGTACAGTACCACTCAAAAGTTTCACTTCACTCTCGTCATTAAATCAGTTTCTTTGAAGATGCTTGTATAAAACAATTCTTTGATGAAAGTAATTTCTTACTAGTGTCAGTCAGTTTGCAGGAAGCTGCGGATGCGAATACGCTCTTGTGAAAAACTGAGCTGTTCATAATAATAGAGAAATCTGTACAGCATTGAGAATGAACTGATAAACAAACTGACACCCACAGTGACTCATACGTGAAAACTAATAACCAAATCTCACTAATTAAACAGCTATTCTAATACAATTCCAATAAATAGACAATTATAGTTTATTATTTAGCCTCTTAAACTCCTTGAGACCACCGGTGGTTCCAAAACGCACTTCATCATATTCTTCATAACTTTCATATTTCATAAGCTACATTCTAAAGGTGGGGGTCGTATGAGAGCTGTAACTGTCTTCTTTCCAGTCAAATAGATGGGTGATGTCATTTTAAACCCTTATAATAAAAGAAGCTGAACTCACAATTTTTTATTTCTACTGAAAGTCGACCCATTTTTCCACAAATCTGGGCTATAAACTATAAACAGATGGCGTCTCTTCAGTGATCTGCTCTGTAAACATTATTTTTATAAGATAATACAAAGAGCGTCTAAGATTTTTGGCTTTCAGCAGTAAATTGTAAGCATATAGCAATATGTGTATCATAAAACACATTCTGTTAATTTGAGGGGAGCCTTTAAAAAAATATATATATATAATAAAAATTTGCATTTATTTTATGCGGTTACTGAATAATTTGCCTTATGATTTGGTCACGTAAATTCAGATGGACAAACCAAAATATACCCTGGAGAATAAGAGGTTAATAACACTTCCATAATTTTTTACGATGTCCTAACTTGTTTTTTTTTCTAAAGTTCCAAGTGCTGACTTTGACTTTGATTTTTAAACTGAAAATATGTGATGTTAAAATAAAATAACTGGACTGTTGTTTTGTTATCATGATGTTATAATTAATCTTGTAGAATTTTAGGTAAAATAAATGTTACAAGAATAAAAGAACATTTCTGTTCATTTTTACTCGAATTCTATCCAATGAAAGCAAAAGACAAAAAAAAAAACAACATTACATATTTAAGGATATACTGAACTGCAGCAGAGCAGAATGTTTAGGTGATGCTGGGTTACTGCACTGAACTATCTGCACTGAAAACTCCACAGAAATAAATATTATATTAATGCTGTTCTGATAGTGCCGTACCTGTACTGTCATATGAGCAGTCCGAGAGATTTCCTCTGAAGTTCTTTGGAACAGTTTCTCTGGTGTTGATTGTTTTCACTGTACCTAAAAAATGAAAGTGGACATTGTCTGATCAGACCTTTATTATGAAAAAAGTGATTAAGAAATATTAAAATTAATAGTGGTACATTAGACTGATGCAAAAGTTTGGGGTCACTGATTTCATTCACATCAATTGAAGATGTGAGTATAAAATTATTCTATGATTGATCTCATTTCTTATGAGTGTCAGTCAGTTTGTATGAAGCTGTAAAAACGAAGATGTTTTGATGATAATCGGAGCTGTAAGTGATTTCATTTATAAATCTGTACAGCATTGAGAATGAACTGATAAAGAAACTGACACCCACAATGAATCATATCTGAAAACTGATCATCAAAAATTACTAATTAAATAGATCATCAGAGAGTTTTTTACTGAATAAACAGAAAATTACAGCTTATTATTTAATAACACTCCCATTTTTTACCGTCTTCTAACTTTGTGTTGTTCTCAAAATTCTGTAAACTGTGAATAAAGTGTTGATTTAAGTTTTGGTGTTTAGTTTATAGCATTTCAATCTACACTGTATGAGTTATTACTGAATAACAGTTATTATTATGACGTGACCTGTGACCGCCTCACAAAAACTAGTGTCAAAAAAATTAGTGTCATAAAAACTCCTTGTGTTAATCTTGATTGTACTGCTGCAGTCATGGGGCACCGTGTGTACTGATAAATGAAGTTAGAACCCAGTTCTGTTTTAACTGAGGAGCTGACAACCTATTTTCTTAGCTAGAACTGGGCTAATCAGCTAGCTAACATACTAAAAAATAGCTAATAGGCTAAACATGATTCACTTTAAAACTACAATATAAGTTAAAAAAGTAAAGTAAATATGTGACTTGAATGTTTTAAAAGCTTCAAGTATCAGTGTTTTGGTTCCTTATGTAGCTTTAAACCTGCCTCCTTCAAATAAAGAGCGCTAGTTATGAATATCCAGCTTCTACTTCCAAACAGTGCAGTGTTCATCCGGTATGGACATGGCTGAATCCCAAATTTGTTAGACGTATTATGCGCTGTATGTGTGCATTTCCAGCCAACACTGGAAATCACATATAGACACTAAAGGAAATTAGCATTGTTGTGGCTGCGCTAATTTGTTGAGCAACAACTACTTGTAAAAGGAATTTTCGGTAACACTTTATTTGGATGATCCACTGTAGATGTTTTGTAAATGCTCAGTCTGTCTTTAAGTAACATTCAACTAAACATCTATTAAATAAAACTGAACTACAAGTTCAGTGTGAAAGTTTATTAAACCTAAACCTAAACCTAAACCTCACCTTAACCTCAAGGCAAAACCTACACCTACTCCTAACCCTAACCATAACCATACTGTTGTTAATAATCAACTGAATATCACCGGAGAGTTTGTTAGTGATTTAGGTATCTGTAGGGCATCTATATGGGACCATCCAAATACAGTGTGACCGAATTGTCCTGCATTAACCACATTAAACAGTGCTAAATTGTGAAGTTTGTTATTACATGGCAAAAAGTTGGAAAAAAATTGTTGTCAAAAATTTAAATAGCAAAGAATTGAAAAGTTGATCAAATGACTATAACACACAGTGATGGGTGACCGAACATTGTTGTCCTTTTTCAGCAGTCCATGGTTACTTGGCAGCTATAATATACTTTAAAGGAACTACATGTCTTGGCTTAGTAATTGTATTTCTCAATAATTATTAATAACATGAATAACAACTAAAAAATGTATATTTTATCAAATAAGTAAGCCACTTGAGGCCATGCATTACAGTGATTTTATCATGGGTAACAGTGTTATTAGGCGTGACACACAGCCTGTTGCTTTTATTCCAAAATAACTGCATGCATGTCATGATATAAACTATACTATTTTTGCTGTAATTTTGAGGGCCTTGCTGATTGTCTCTCCTCGCCGAGAAATAAAGAATTTTGCCATGAGAGCCTTTGGTACATTCTTTGTTACATTCTTTTCAGGAGACTTGCTTTCAGCTACTCAAAGAAATCCGCTGCCACACGTCCAAAGTTCAGTCTTAGAAGTAGGTTGTATGCTGGTTTTAAGACTGGAGAAATGGCGGAGTTAAAGTGACAGTGGGATGCACAAAAGTGAAGAGTGAACAAATTAAATACAGACAAATTTAATATATTTCATTGTTGAGGACTTTGTGTAGCTTTCTGTTAAATGTATGTTTCCTGCTTTTTTTTATTTGACACAGAAAAATGGATGAGTAGTACTTAATGGGCATTTCGAACAAAACAAAAGGGTGGTCTCTGGGTTTTTTTTACTGCATGTCTCAGCACTGCTTACCATTTTTGTCCATTATGGTGAATATCACTCCTCCTCCAATGCCCATGCACTGCGGGTTTACGACTGACGTGCACAGCAGAGCAGCTATTGCAGCATCTACCGCCGAGCCGCCAGAAAACAGGATATCTCTGAGAAACCGAAAGCAACACAGCTAAACTGACTGCACCGCCAAAACACAGCCGGTAACTAGATAAGAAACTCTTCACCTTGCTTGCTGATCATTCCAAGCTGTATCTTTCAGTGCACTATAGATGAGCTATAATGGTGAATGGCATTCATGCAAAAATCATAAAGAGCAATTATTTGGCTTAAAACACTCACCGTCCAACTTCCGAGCAATTTTCTGAGTCAGCAGCAACTGCAGCTTTACTGAAATTTCCAACAAGACAGACTGTTGGAGGGGGCGGACTGTCCTTAGGCTGGTTTCTCCCATAATAGACACCTATGACTGTAACAGTTATTATCAAAATAATGACGAAGATGCCGCAGAATACCTTTCTTCCAGCCATTACTGCAGGTGTCAATAAACCAAATCTTGCACCAAGAAAGTCATGCAGTGAATGTGGGCGCGAAGGCAGTTAAACAAACACCTCCCCTTCCTCCTGTCACAGTCACATCGGTCGGCAGACTTGACTCCGCCCAACCAAAACCCACCACACTGCAAAAAAAGTGATGCTTTGAATTGACTTAACTCAATCATTGCATCCTTTCCACTTGAATAAAATATATTACATCAACACATTTACTGCCAAAAGTACATATTATTATTATTATAATTATTATCTATTATTAGTACTAGCAGGTAAGCCCACTGAGAACACGGTCTCGTTTGTAATGGGGTCCTGTAAAAACATACTTAAAATACAGTACAATAATATAGTTCTAAAACTATGAGAATGATCAAAATAAATGAAACAAGCCTTGAGTTACATAGAAAAACACCTACAACCCTCATCAGCCAAACTGTTTTAAATTGACTAAAAGGTAGGTGTTGTATTTCCACATAAACTGAAGGACTAAATGATGTGATAGTTATTTTATGTAATGTAATGTTGCAATATTTTGATGTCAAAGTTTATTTATGTGGAAATTATGTAGGCAGGAGCATGCCACGAGCTAATGCGTTTTGGGTTTGGTTAAATAATTTTAAAGTTTTTGAGCAAGACTAATATTAAATAATATTAATATTCATCACATTGAAGCCTATGCAGAAGTCCTCTCATGCCCTGATATAGATCATATAGCATAATCTCAGTCTTTCTGACAGGGCTTAACCCTGCAGCACCACCCGAGGCCTAAAGCCACCCTGACCTGTGAGGTGGATAGTTTATCACTGAGTGTGTGATACATATACTCATATACATGCTGCAGTCTTCTCAGGTAAAGAAGCTCACTGGTGTTTATGAGGCCATCATCTCATCATCTAACCAGACACAGCGGTGAGAACTCTAGTGACCACGGCCGAACTTGCTTATTATGACAGTGCGAGCATGCATCATGATCACTTCATGGCTTTTTGTGTTTTGTGGTTCAACAGCGTGATGGATAACACCATTGTACTACAGGGAGAAGAGTGAAGGTTTGATTCACTGTCCAGGTAGGAAACCCACTGCAATACAAATGAGCATTTAAGCAAGACACAGGCATAGCTGGGTATAGCTAGAACTGCCCAGGGGTGTGTTTAGGGTCTAAAATATTTAATAGGAATATGAATTATGGGCTCATGCAGCTTCTGTGGTAAACATTCCTGCCTTTTTTATCAGCTGGCCTTCACCATAGTTATTACAATACAGCAGTTAGCATGGTCAAAGTACATGAAACTGGAACTGTTCCTATTTTTTTCATTCATAGATGAAAACATTGGATATGTTAATGATATATTAATGATATTTTGACCACCAAACTGGAAATGTTCCCAGTTTTCATTTCAGGAATCTGGTCAACTTACACAAAACGACACTTTGCTCGTATAAATTTAATGAAATAAAACTTACTACATTTCTATCATTTATCTCGTTTGGTATGAGCTTCTTTACAGACGAGGAAAAAGACGAGGCTGTAACGTTCACTGAGGTAACAGAACGTTATCATTCGTCTGTTTATCTAAAAGACTGTATATATTTAAAGCCATATGTGTTCCACTGCGGCTTTCTGTGGTCTCAATATGGCTTTAATCAATGCAGCAATGGCAAAATTCTTGGACCCTTCACAACGTGATTCAGCACATCCAGTGTGTGGTGGCCTCAAGGCCTAGATGTAGCACTCGGATGACCAGACAATCTTCTAAATGGCTTCCCCTCGATTTCTTTCAGTGTGGAAACTCTAAACAGGATTCAGGATTGCAGCTTTCGTGTTGTACTAGTGGGTTCAGCTGAAAATGATGTCTGACTGGTGTGTAGATAATCTGTGATGGTGTTCTGTGTCCAGCAGAGCCAGCTAGATTAAGATAGCTCTCCATTCGTGTTTGAAGATTTTGTGGCTGCTATTTCTGCTGAACACCAGTCTCTTCCTCATGCAGGGCCTTCACCTCCAACACTTACCTTTAAGTAATCAATGGGATTTCTCATGGTGAGTGTACCAGAGAGAGGGCAGGAAGCCATTCCGCAAGCCTTGCTGCTGAACAGGAGGTGGGGCCTGGGCAGCGGAGTTCGGGACTTGGGCGTCATCCATCATTCCCTCACCATTCTCCTTCTCTCCCCGCTGTCCTAGCAGGGCTTTGTCCTCGCTTATGGTTCAGGCCCCGTCTTCTTGCTGGCTCTCGGCTGTCATTGGGGCCCAGGGCCCATTTATAAAGACATTTTTTGGTGTCTTTGGCCCAGAGTTGATCCTGACCTCCCTGGGGCCCTAAGCAAAATTCTACAAAGGGGTCTTCAAACTCGCCCTGTGGGTCATGGAAACCATTTGCATTTGGCACATAGTCACACCAGATACCCCAGTGCTCCCACTACAGTCCTCCCTTCTTTAAACCAGTCTGCTCCATCTGTTGCTCTAAGAATAAGTAGATCTGTACAGAACAGAATGAGCTACAAACAATATTTTTTACTCTATCAATATGTACTCTTCTGACACACAGCTTAGCACCTGAATAATTATAGATAGTACTATTGTTAATTTAATCAGCGGCATTAGGCCCATTCACACTGGCTCCCCCAGATTTCCTTTATACATTTTCAAATATAAAACACTATTTATACTCTGGCTTGACTGTATACTTGATGGTTATTATTTAGATAATATTTAGTTATTATTTAAATGTGTATCCATATTGCCCAGTATGCCTAGCTAATCAACATTTTAAACTCAATAATTAATCAATAGTCAATGTCCCTCCATTGCTTTTCATTCTGCATCAGTCAGAGCTGTAACTAAACCCTGACAGAGAGTCTAGATCATCACTGTCTTGTTTTAAAATGACGAGCTCCTATGAGGAGTAAGCCATCACACCCAGATACTGTCTGGACTGGACAGGACTCCACACGAGCTTCATGTTTATGTGTGATGCGGTCATCTTTTCCGAGCTGCAGTTTATTAACACTGTTGCCTGCTGGGGTTTATCAAAAGTAGCACAGCAACTTGTGTATGTTAAATGTTACTGTTATTAACTGACATCAAACTTGGAGAGAACACAAGTTTTTCTTTTTGTGACCAGATGAATAGTTCCGCTTCATCCTTTCAGTGAAGTTGTAAATAATAAGCAGTTTTTGCACAAGGGGGAGGCGGGGCCCTTGCATAATATGCGGAGCCCTACACAACGTGTGTAGTAAGCATATAGGGCCAACCGGCTCTGCTGTGGCCAATAAGCTACATTTTTGCCTTTTCTGACTCAGTTCATCAAAGTTCCAGTGACATTTATCAACATCTCCAGGCACTTACATTCACAGTCTGACATCAGAAAATATCTCCCGTGTAAGTGATCTCACATTGCACTCTAATTGGGGAATCGGGAACTCTTGCAGGTGAAGCTGTGGAAGAACTGTTTCTCTATACATGAACAGAACCTAAAACAAAAAATGGTTAAAAGCCGTAAATGCCACCTGCATAATAAATATATAAGTAAAGTCATTCAGAGTGGTTTGGTGTGAAACGTTCCGTTCTAGATAAACTTACCGAGTCAGAACTGTTCACAGTGGTGGTGATAGGAACCAGACGTCCACCTCTAAAAGCTCCCTCACAGAAAGTTCCTACATGAAATGGTTATGAATTCACTGCCTGATGACTGAGACACTGTTTTATGATAGTTTTGAGAAGATTTTGGCTCTAAAATCGATTGGAGGAATACATGCAGGGAGTTGTGAGGCAAAATAATCCTCAAAGAAAATTAATGAATTATGTCAGATTTTCCAGTATTTTACCAACGTCAACATGCTGTATAAAACTCAGAAGGCAGGGTTGTAAAAAACACTGTGTGTATATATATATATATATATATATATACATATATTAGGGTTACGGGGAAAAAATCAATTCTTAGATGCACTGCGATGCGGACGTTAACGATTCTGAATCGATTCACAAAAGTCAAAAATCGATTTTCTAAATACTTAATTTATAATGTAATGTTGACGGAATGCAAAAGGCGGAACTTGGAAGTGCGAAAGTGCAGCGCCCGGACAGTCTGTGGCGGCACATAACAGAAACACCGCTGGATGAGTGAGAAATCGGACCGGCTCCCTCTGCATTAAAGCCAGGTTAGATCAGGAGTCACAACACAAATGATAAGAAGAGCCATTTTGTCCTTTAACATGAATCAAACCAGCTTGGGAGCCACAACATTTAATGTCTAGTGTGTCTCAGTATGTGATAATGTCCTAGTATAGGTTAAACAATATAAAAGAAAACTCTTACTCCTACTTAGACTTACTCTGCTCTGCTTTAAGCTTTAGATGTAGCCGCTTTTCCTTCAACTCCGCCAGAAAACTTTTCCTCAAAAGTTGAATAGTTTCTTGTGAAATGTCTCTCAGCTTTCGGCTGTTTTACGAGGCTGAAGTCGTTTCTTATTCTCCAGCTTCTTGCTGAACTTTCCCGTTCCACCTTAAATTCTAACTGAGGCGCCGAATGTAAAAGCGGCACCATTTAAGGTGGAACGGGAAAATTCGAAAGAGAAGTGAGTTCATCTTAGCAACTTTTACTGTTTGACAGTCTCTCGTTGCAGATTAAACGTATCAGGAAACGAACTGCGCTGCTTATAAATGCGAATAAGTCCGTTCGTCTCCAAATGTTCGTCTGTCTTTCTCTTTTTCTTTTCTTTCGCTACTAGCCAGGCGACACCTCGTCGCTACGTGAGAAACGTCAGTTCTCAGTCGTTGCGAAACCGGGCTTTCGCGCTCCTCCCTCTATCACGAGACCAAAACCGAAGTTATAAAATCACTGAATTAAACAGGGAAGGACGACTGTAACGCGCTGCGTGGACATCCATTACTGGATCTTATTTCACCGTAACTGCGCATTTTATCGCATATGAGTAGCAGCAGCGTCTCAAACAGGAGCAGTGAATGAGAGCCTTCTAGTTCACTTGCCACATCACTTCCATTTGTTTTGTTAATAAAAGATATTGGACGTAAATGCATTATGGGTTATGTGTATATATATATATATATATATATATATATATATATATATATATATATATGCAATGATGTGCAAATCATTTAAACCCTGTATTTAAATGAAAATAGTACAAATACAACATATCAAATGTTCAAACTATAAAAAATATATGCCCATTTTGAATTTGATGTCAACAACATTTTCCAAAAAAGTTGGGACTACACAAAAAAAAACTGGTAAAACACCTGCTGGTTGATTGGCAACAGGTCAGTAACATGATTGGGTATAAAGAGCATCTCAGAGAGGCGGAGTCTTTCAGAAGTGAAGATGAGGAGGGGTTCACCACTCTGTGAAAGACTGCACCATCAAATAGTGCAACAATTCAAGAATAATGTTTCTGAACGTAAAATAGCAAAGAACTTTTGCTTTTCATCATCTACGGTACATAATATCATTAAAAGACTCAGAGAATCTGGAGAAATCTCTGTATGTAAGGGTCAAGACCAAAAACCAGTATTAGCTGGCCGTGATCTTTGGGCCCTCAGGCAGCACTGCATTCAAAACAGACATGATTCTGTAGTGGAAATCACTGCATGGGCTCAGAAACACTTCTGAAAAACACTGTTAAAGTGCAAAGACAAAACCAAATATAAACAGGATCCAGAAACGCTGCCACCTTCTCTGGGCCATTGCTCATTTAAAATGGACTGAGGTGAACTGGAAAAGTGTCCTGTGGTCCGATGAATAAAAGTGTGTTTACGTGCGTTTGGGTAATCAGATAACGGTGAACCCCTCCTCTGCTGGAAAAATTAATGTCACTACTCATTACTTACTCAATACTTTTGAGTTCATCCCTAAAACCCAACACATCTGTACCAGCTGTACAAACCAAACAGTCCTTTCAGTACTTTATTTAGTAAACATCATTTAAAAGCTCTGTCAGTGTCACTGACTCTAAACAGCGCATAGTCAGCTCTGCTGATTACAGTGATCATATAGATATATAAAACAGTATTTAACAGAAAAAGTAAGTCTGTTTAAAGAAATGACTGCATATATACTTAAGTACTGTGTTTCAGTACTTAAGTAGTCTGTCTGCTAATAATATATTATCATATATCAGTCTTAAAGGAACAGTAACAAAAAAAACAGTCTGTTTAATTGTAAGGGGAAAAAGAGTGGTTGGAAAATGCTCACATAAAATGAATTATGTCTGTTTTTTAGTACAAACCTCATACAAAATAATAAAATACAAGAAAAATGAATAGAAGAGGTTAGTATCCTGCAGCTTTGCCCATCTTCCGAGCATCTGAAACAGCTTCGATGCACTCTTTTTTCTTTGATACACCGTTGACCACGTTATAGAAAGCCTTTGCTTCTTTAACTGTGTGCCCAAGTCCTTTAAGACCCTCGATGACATCCTGAAAGAGAGAAAATACAGTAACATGGTAAACAGAGTTTCTAAATGTTTTTTTTTATAAACTCCATTAGCATTTTGCTTTTCACTGCAAGGACTGGCAATTAAACTAAATGTCCCTAAAGTCCTGGCGTCACAGTTTTTCGTACCGCATCGAAATTCTCCTCAAACTGAAGCGCATTTTCGGGGTCCAGATACACAACAGGTTCAGCGATGGATGTGTTCAGACTCTTCTCAAGCCATAGGTGATTCATGAGTACCTGAGCAAGTCACAGGAGCAGAATGAGAAAAAAGATCAGATCAAAAGAAGGTTATAGTCCATAGAACAATGACTATAAAAAACACTTGCGAGTTGTACTTAAGGACTCCTCATGGAAAATCGTATGTTGTCATTGTCCATTCAGCCTATAGCATTAACCCACTGAAGTGCTTTTTGAATGAGGTACAATACAGGCAGGCCAATCAAAATGATGATCATTTACACATGACAGTAGACACAGGAACAAAAACAGTCTGTTTCTAAGGGGTAAAGAATGCAGTAAAATTGAACCTATTAAAATAGTTAAAAATAGAAAAAATAATCAAGTTTTTGTACTAGGCAAACAGCAGAAGTGCACTTCAGGGAGACAATGTTTAAAAAAATGGCTTTTTAAACCATTTCTGTGCCCAAACTCACCATGGTTATCGCAGTGGTCATCCAATCTCCTCCTGCTCCTCCGATGACCACAATGTGGTTTGTAACCGTGGAGCGAAGGATCATCGGAGCCATGGAGGAGGGAGGACGTTCACCTACATGAACACAAATACACAAGGATGCAGAGAACTCATTTATGTCAGTAACAGATATGGAACCTTAAGTTTGCAGAAAATTATGCATATTTTCTCTCATGGGAATTCTCTTAAATTCCCCGCAGACTCACCTGCCTGTACCTGCTTTGCTTTCTTGCAGAAGTCTGTCATCTGACTGTTGAGGATGACGCCTGTTTTTTTTGATAAATCTCCACACCCAAACCTAACTCAGAGGGAATTACTGTTAGTAACACTGAACATGCCACTGTAGTGCATGAGAGAATGGCTAAATACTCTCTCATATGCTACCAGTGGTGGATGAAGTACATAAATCATGTACTTGAGTTAAAGTAGAGATACCCAAGGTAGAATATTACTCCAGTAAAAGTAGAAGTTCCTCCCTTTAGGCCTCCACTTGAGTAAAAGTACAAAAGTATTCACCTTCAAATGTACTTAAGTATTGAAATTAAAAGTACTAAATAACTTTTTGCAAACAAGCAAAGTTTCATTTTAAGATTTATTTGTAACTTAGTTGTAAGTTTAAGTTTAATAAAAACTTGTTTTAAACTCAGATTCACAAATGAGTTTCCTTTACTAAACTGCATCTGTAGGTCTCTGTTCATAAACATAAACTAGCCAAAACTAATTTACTATAAAATGAAATGTGTTTGTATAAATTCAGAAAAATACACGTCAGTCACAACTGCATATGAGTACATATTTCTATATTGTGGTCTATTTACACAAAGTTAGGTTAGTTCATCATTTATGTTGAATAGACTCTCCCAGAATTTTACGCTGCTGCACTGATGTTGAACCGTGTGCTGCACTGGGTCGGTATGACCAACAAGTCAAAACAAGCTCAAAATAGAGTGACCGCTGTGCCCTGATTGGTGTTCTGGCTTTGCGCTTTGCGATTTCTCAGAATGTAGTGGAGTAAAAAGTCAGATATTTGACTTTGAAATGTCGTGGAGTGAAAGTAAAAAGTTGCCCACAATGGAAAAACTTCAGTAAAGTACAGATACAGAAAAACTACTTAAGTACAGAAACGAATTACATTTACTTCGTTACTGTCCACCACTGCATGCTACATAATAAAAGAATAGCTTGGCAAAAAAAAATTACAACAGTCCACAATTTTCCCCTAAAAGAAAAAAAAATTGATGTGTCTTAAGTTTGCCTCTTTAGTTTTAGCACAGGAGCTACGAGGCTAACAAATGTAATGTAAGCAGACTCATACCTCTGAAGTTTTTTTGGGCGTGTGAGGGTTTTGTAGGTTTAGGGGCATTGAGACCATGATGTGGGGTTATATGACTTTGTGACATAAATTTTTTTTTAAATAGTTGCAAAAACTACCTTTATTGCATTCAACAAAAAGAATGCAAAATGTTTTATAGACTCTAGCATCTTTTCTCTTGAGACAGTGTGTAATAAATAACATTAAAAACTGTTTCCACTTCCTCTGGTCCTGGCTGCACTGAAGCACATGTACAGGTGAGATATTTATTACAGTTTAGATGCAAAATTAATTTAGATATACAGCAACATTACATTTGAAATTCGAAGTTCATTCACTAAAGCGAGCAATTGCTGTGGCTGGTGCCACCTCAGCTGTGAGGGTTGCTGCTAACGCTCCTTGTCCACTCCTCATTGTTGTGGCCTGGTACTAAATGATCCATGCAGGGGCGGCACCAGGCACTTCCTCTGGTCCAGGGATGGGGGAGTAGCTAAGTAGCGCGCTCTTTTTTGTAGTTAACTACAAATGTTTTGTAGCTAGTAGCTGTAGCTGCTACAGTATGAAATGTAGCTAAAAGCTGTAGCGCTTACAAATTTTCGTGCAGCTATAGCAAAAATTTTCGTTACGATTTTGCTACAGACTTCAGGCAATCTGCACAAAATCTGAACCACAGAACGCGGTCGTTAACTGGGCTGGTAGCAACTGTGCAATCATGACTGAGCCACAGACAGCTCGAGCAAACGGTCACACAGCTCTGCAGCAGTGGAGAGATTATTCAGGCCTGATTCTCACCCCAAACAGAGCCAGATTCACTGATGAGGATTCTGAGGCTGAAGTGTTGCTGAAGTTTAAAGGACTCTGAATGTCGTGTCTTTACAGATCTTGCTGAAATGTTTAAACTGGAGCAGTTTTAATTCAAAAGTTGACAATGCTCTGCATAAAATTGTTTGGTTTGTATTCAGTTATTTTTGTTGATTTTTGTAAGGAAAAACATGGAATGAGTGATTTTGTCTTTAGTCTAAATTGTAGTTGGATATCAGGCCTTTGTTTGTGTAATTTAGATTGTTGGTTACACTTAAACTTGACTAAATGCAGTGTCTTGTTCACACTGTCAGCTGGGCTTGTTTGGTGTGTCAGGTGGAGGATCACAAACATTCAGACAATCACGCTTTGAAAGTAGCTAAAAAGTAGCCACTGCTTTTTCTGGAAAAGTAGCTAAATTGTAGCAGCTACAAATTTTGGGAAAGTAGCTACAAAGTAGCTAACTACTAATTTTTCAGTAACTATCCCAACCCTGCTCTGGTCCTGTCTGACAACATTGTCTGACAGGCAAAAAACCTGCATGTCTACAACGTAAGTTGACACGGCTGAAAACTCCAAATAAATATGTAGATTTGAGAGGAGTGTGCAGAGAACACGTTACATGCACTAAAAATAAACAGTACTTCTTACAGGACAAAAAACAGTTCCATTACCTAAACACTGCATTTACTAGCTGGTCTGTTTTGCTTGTGTTATCAACATTATCAGTTTTACAGGGGAACAGTGGTAGTTTGAACATTGTACCGGGGTGGCATGGAGTTTCGGCGGGAAGTGGGGTTGGGGCGGTGGAGCATGACTTTGAACAGCTCTTCTGCCGGTCACAAATGCAGAAGTGGCGCGCTCACAATGAGAAAGTGCGAGAGATGGGGGGTTGTGGTGTGCGGGAGAGTAGAGAGACTGTTAACTATTCACTTTCCTTTTCAAGGCAAAGCAGTACAGAAGAGAAGTACTGGTGGTAATGTGTGTGTGTGTGTGGTTCTGGGGAGAGTTGTTCCACCTCTCCTCTTAAAGAAGCAAATCTAACATGTCTCCTGTTGAGATTGTTGTAAGCTTAATTTGTGATTATTCAACTAATTTCTAGACTTTCTTTACATGTTTTAGGTAATTGAATTATGTAAAATTATCTCACTATTTTGGCAGATAATTTAGCTTGTTGTAAGAAATGTGATTGAAACCAGCAACATTATCTACCAGTATAGTGAGATAATTTCACTTAATAAAATTACAACCCCAATTCCAAAAAAGTTGGGATGCTGTGTGAAATGTAAACCCATGTAAATAAAAACAGGACGCAATGATTTGTAAATCTCATAGACCCATATTTTATTCAGAATAGAACATAGAATGTTGTTGATGTTGAAAGTGAAACATTTTACCATGTCATGAAAAATATTAACTCATTTAGAACTTGATGGCAGCAACACATCTCAAAGAAGTTGGGACAGGGGCAACAAAAGGCTGGAAAAGTAAGTGGTACTAATAAAAAACAGCTGAAGGAGTAATTTGCAACTAACTCACATGACTGGATATAAAAAGAGTATTTTAGAGTGGCAGAGTCACTCTGAAGCAAAAATGGGCAGAGGTTCACCAATCTGAGAAAAAGGGTGTCTACAAATTGTGGAAAAATTTCAGAAAAATGTTCCTCAACATAAAAATGCGAAGAATTTGGATATCCTACCATATACAGTACATAATATCATCAAAAGATTCAGAGAATCTGGAGAAATCCCTGTACGCAAGGGACAAGGCTGACGGTCAGTACTGGATCGAGCCCTCGGGCAGCACTGCATTGAAAACAAGTATGATTCTGTACTGGAAATCACTGCATGGGCTCAGAAACACTTCCAGCACTCATTGTCTGTGAACACAGTTCACCGTGCAATCCACAAACACAAGCTGTATCGTGCAAAGCCATGTGTCAACATGATCCTGAAATGCTGCCGTCTTCTCTGGGTCAAAGCTTATTTAAAATGGACTGAGGCAAAATGGACAACTGTTCTGTGGTCAAAATTTTAAATTCTTTTTGGAGACCACGGATACCCTGTCCTGCGGACCAGAGAGGGACCATTCAGCTTGTTATCAGTGCACAGGTAAACACGCCCCTGTCCCAACTTTTTTGAGATGTGTTGCTGCCATCAAGTTCTAAATGAGTTAGTGCTTTTCATGAAATAGTAAAATGTCTCACTTTCAACATCTGATATGTGTTCTATGTTGTATTGTAAATAAAAATAAGGGTCTATGAGATTTGCAAATCATTGTATTCTATTTTTATTTATATTTTTTTCATTTTACACAGTGTCCCAACTTTTTGGAATTGGGGTTGTACTTAAAACAAATAACAATGTCTAGAAATAAGATAGATAATCTTTTAATAAGGGCACAGCCATCTTTTTCACACACACACACACACACACATCATCTAAATCAACTAGATGTCAGATAAGTTCACTTGACAAGATATCATTTTTGGCAGTGTGATCTTGTGACAAGAATGTCTGGAAACATTCATGAGAAATTTTATGCTAAATATTGTGGCGGGGGTGTAGACTTATTAGGGTGGGAACAAACTGTGTGAAACAAAAGTGTGAAAAAACCCAACCAACATCTTGTGAAGGCCGAGCTCAAAGTAGGGGGTGCTGGGGTGCAAGCCTGTTGTTGGCGCATGGATATAACCTAAGTTAGCATGGCTGAAAACTCCAGCTAACCGTACAGATGTGACTTGCATGTGCGGAGAAAACATTACATGCGGTAAAAACAAACATTTCTTCCTTCAGAGCAAAGCAGGTCTGTTAGCTAAAGATTGCATTTCACTAGCTAGCCTGTCTTGCTTTTGTTATCAGTGTGATTTTTTTTGTGACTTTCATGTCATCATGACTGCACAATGCTGTCTATATTATGTGACAGCAGTCTGCACTGAAAGTTGATTTTACTCACATGTAGTTGATGGAGCTGGTGACAGACACGGCCATTCCGTCCTCATCGAGAACGGACAGATGTGTGGTGCCATGTGTCTCTTCATCTGAGCTGATGCTGTAATACTGATCATCGTGGGTGCTGTTATCTGTGATCTTCTTTCTAACGTTTTCAGCAAACTCCTTCTGAATTGTAGCAAATGCCTCCTGTTTAACACAAACAGATGTTCACTATACCAGGTCGAAAGGGGTCTAAAGACAAGACCACCCAGAGCACCCAACCACTGCCCCGAAGTGCAGATGTGGACTAAACAAATAATGAAGGGCTTCCGGCATGATGGGTCAGTCCTTAGTGACTAGCCAGACATGTAATAAATAAATAGAAGGCCACTGGTTAAAATATGAATGGGAACGTTTGTAACGCTCAACAGGACATCTCTTTGAGGAGAAAGTCCTGCCCCACAATAAAAAAAGCCAATCAGCTTTGCTTATTTTTTTTTTGCTGGCTGGAAAATAACTGCCCGGTGGCGTTGCAAAGATAGGCACTGAGTGAACTTTAGTTTAGCACGTACTTGAGTATAAATCTGTTTTTGAGCGACTTAAAAATTTTGTTCATATAGAATCTAAAATATGGTCACTTTCTCACTTTGATGATTTTTTCACACATCTTTTCTCATTCTTTTAAATAATTAGAATATTTGAGAGGATATTCAATAGAATATTTGAACATATTTGACAGTTGCAGCCCTAATTAACATATTGTTTTGCTTAAAAAAACAGACCAGCAGGGCCTACCTTGTCAGTGTTGAATCTGGAGTCTCTCATGAACTTCTTCCGTCCTTTAGCAAACTTAATGGCCTCTACGTAGCGATGATAGGTCAGCACACGCTCTTCTTTCTTCTGCAGAGATGCTGGGTTTAGGTTATAGCCTGGAAGGCACATAGAACAATTTTGTGCGCTATTTTATGTGTGTATGTACGTGCTTTCCAAAGTTGGGACAGTAAGAAAAATGTAGGTGTCAGATGTCAATGATTTGTTTTTGTTTGATCTGTATTCAATTAAAAATAATTGAATTAATTAACTAATTAACTTTGTTGTTTTTTGTATGTATATGCTTACTCTAAATTTGATGCCTGAAACACATTCCAAAAAAGTTGGGACAGGGGCATGTTGACTTTTAATGTCAGTTAATTTAAGTTAAGGTTTTATTCCAAGTATTTTTGGAGCATTTCTGTCTGTCCATCATGAAATTTTCACACAATATAAAGGGCAGCTGCCATGCTCAAATGATGAAGAAATATAAAAATCATCAAAAATAGAGGTACACATTTTTTTTGGACAGCGGCAATGTGTTGCTTCAAAATGTGCATGCTCCCCTCAGCATTAACAGTGCCTTCACAGAAGTGCAGGTTACCCAATAATGCCCTCAACAAAATGACACTGGATTTTGAACTTTACACTGGTAACAATCTGGATGTTTCTTTTCTTCTTTGGTCTGGAGAACATAATGTACATTATTTCTATAAACAGTCTAAACGGTTGACTCGTCAGACCACATTACAGGCGTCCACTGAGAACAGTCCATTTCAGATGAGCCTCAGCCCAGAGAAGTTGTTGTTGATAAATGGCTTCTGCTTTTTCCCCTCTGAATCTTTAATAATATTTTTGACTGTAGAAGGTGAAATCCCTAAATTCCTTGCAGTCATGCATTGAGAAAGATTGGCCCTCATTCTCCAATATCTTTCAAAGTTTTTTCTTAAGTGTGTTGTTGAGAAAGGTCCTAAGAAAAAGTCTCCGTCAGATTCATGACGTGTTCTTAAAGAGCAGAACCTTTCTCTCCTTTGTGCTCTTGAGTGTGTGTAGATTCTGGTCTTACTTAAGAACAAATCCCACATAAGAGAACACTGGTGAATATCATAATCTTTGTGAAAACTGTGTAAGTGGGTTTTAGGAAGATATATTTTTTAAGAATGGTTGGTGAATGAGGCCCATTGTTCTTTAACAGGTGTACTTTTCGCTCACACAGTTTTTTGCAAAGTGATGAATGATCTTTACATGAAGGCTTCTTTTATACACAATCACAACAGCATCTCCTGCTGACTCTTCACCTGTTTACTTGTGGAAAGTTTTTAATTGTTCCACAATCTTACCAGTCTTACACTGCCTATGTCTCAACTTTGAATTAGGTTTGTTATCACAAATGCAAAAGCACAGTGCACAAGACCACACTAAAAACACTTTTCTTTCATCAATATTGCATCAAAGCAGTGTTTAGATGTAATATATATAGATTCAACAGCCCAACACGTTGGTGAAGTTTTAATAACTGGTAATGCAAATAATTGCTAATAACTATGGACATGGTCATATAAGGGTGTTTTTGAAGCTACAGGCACTTTCTCATCAATGCATTTTTAATAAAATTCACAAATTGACTTTTTTAAAGTTTACTATACGAAGCTCACAACAAAACAATCTTGGAGACTTTTTCCCATGCCTCTATCATTATTTTAATGTGCCTTATGTAAGTATTTCTTTATGTCTTTTTTCATCTTAAAATATGAAAATCTGTAATAAAAATGTTTTTTAAGATCTTTTTTTTCATTTGTTTCTGTAAAGAAAAAGTTAAATTATTTCAATATTCATCAATTCATTTTTAGACAGAATATACCTGTCCTCAGCAGTGCTGTACTTTTCACTACAACCTACAATTTTGCCATTATTACTATTATTACGTGCCATCAAGTGATCATATGGATAGTGTTTCTCCAGAATGTCCTGTCTTCTGTTTGAGTCTTCAGGCTTCTGAATGGCTGGTTCATTTCTCTGATTATATCGATCCATCGTGTAGCTGGTCATCCTCTTTTACCTTCAACTCTTCCAAGCACAACAGTCTTTTCCAATGAACTAGCTTTTTTCTCAGAATGTGCCCAAAATAGGAGCTTCAGTTTGGTGGGGCTTCAAGTGAGAGGTGAGGCTTGATTTGGTCGAATATCCATTTGTTATTTTATCTCTCAAAAGTTGTCACCAACACCAAAGTTCAAAGGCAACAGTATTTTTCCTGTTGGTTGTTTGTTGTCCAACTTTCACATCTATAAAGAACCACAGAGAAGACCACAGCCTGGACAATCCTGATCTGTGTTTGTAGAGACAAAACAATGCATTTGATGATCTTTTCAAGCTCCTTCATGCTTGTTTGTCATAACCTTAGTCTTCTTCACACTGAGCTGAAGCCCCATCTTTTCACTCTGGTCTTTAACATTCCTTATCAGGGCATTCAGGTCTTCCAGATGTTCCGCTGTGGATGTCATATCATCTCCATATCGAAGGTTATTGATGTTTCTTCCACCAGTCATCCAATTCCTGAATTCTCTATCAACTTCCTCCAGTCCTGCTTCTCTCAGTATATGTTCTGCATACAGGTCAAACAGTAATGGTGACAGTGGGCAGTCCAGTCTAACTCCTTAGCCAATGTGGAACCAGTCTGTCCATTTTCTGACCTGAACATAGCTTGTTAATCAGTGTAGAGATTCCTCATTAGAACAGTGAGATGCTCTGGTATTCCCATTTTCCTGAGGACATTCCATAATTTAATGTGGTCAACCCAGTCGATACTATTTTTTTCAAAACTTAGTTTTCTTTGTTATGAATGCAACAACGGTTTCAGAGAGGAGCATGACATTTGTCTAATATTAGACACATGATAAACAGAAAATAAAGAAAAATAAAGGAAATTCTATTTGAGAACAGCAGTTACAGTACAAACACAGAATTTTTGTCATTGTTAACTTGAACAATCATCTAAACTGATAATCTTGTTTTATGAACTTTTTCTTCTTTAAAGTTACCATTTTGGAGACACAAGGTTTTGTTCTGACAGCCACGATATGCTTTAATTTTTTTGTGATTTCCTTTGTAAGTGCTCTGAGTTATCTATAACAATAGATAGATAACAATATATCTCCTGTGATTCAGGTGTGTTCACTTTTAGATCTTCTTACTAGTCAACTTGCTCATATACACACACCACATATATCCTGTGAATAACTTTCCAGTGCAAAATAAATGTCCAAAATTATGCTGTCTTCATATAAACTTGGTGGTCCTAATCTTGGGTATTTGATTGTGTAAGCAGTATCTTCACCAATCACAAGTCAGATTTGGTTCATCCCACCCTGACAGTTTTAACAAAACTGTGTTGACTTTCATCAGAATACCTTACTGAGACAAGGCTAACCACTAAGCGAAAGCTAACCTAGCAAACATAACTGAATAAGAAAGAAGATGTATTCACAGCTTTGCTCTGTCAACTGGCCACGACAGCATTGCCTGGATGCAGATCCAGCAGTAAAGTGAATAAGAAAAAGTTATTTAAGGCGTCTCTGTATAAAAGCTGGATGATTTTATATGGACACAGCAGGGTCTACAACACCACCTGTATATGTAGCGAACTGTTTCACTCATTTCTCCACTGTAGGAGGCTGGGAGGGTTGGAAATGTAAAATAATTGAGTGAATCCTAACTTTAATAATTTGTCTGACCTTCCATAACATTGAGGATGAAACTGACCAACGCTGCCCCTGAAGGTGGAGGGGGGAAGTACATGGTATAATCGCCCAGAGACATATTCCAGGGCTCCAACTCAGACACCTCAACTGAGCGCAGATCCTCCAGAGTGAGAATACCACCTTAAACACACAACACACCATGCATCAGATAATGTACTGCTCACTGCCCTTTATATATCAATTATAGTGTAAACTTGTTTCAGCCATTTAACAGGCCAGAGCCTGACAGTGGGCCCAAAGTTTTATTACACACTTCTATAACCTCTAAGTCCCTATAGGTACTGAATAATAAGCCTTAGTTTATAATAAGCCTGAGATTTTAAGGAGTTAAACTACAAAACATAAAATTAATGATTACTATTGTTGATATTAGCTTGAATAAGGTCTTAATTATCAGATATTGATACTGTCATGTTGTTATAGTTATTATTATTCTATATCAATGTATTTGTAATTTAAACCTGCTTCCTGTATGTCACTGATTAGGTCTCTGGCTGTTTCTCCTGTGTAGAACTCATCTGCTCCACGCTCTGCTATCTTCTCCAGGGTGTCTGCAAGCTTCTCAAACTTCACAATGTCTCCTTCCTTCAGCATGTTTCCCTTTGCATCCCTGAACAGCTGACTGAGAAAGAGACACAGAGGGAAAATCAGAGTCAGAAATTTGTTTACTGGAACTTAGGGCCATAGTACGCAAGTCCAGTCTCCACTCTTTTTCATCCTGGACTTCCCTGCTGAAAAAACAAAACAGACCAGCATGCATTTCTTGCTGCACTGTAAAAAATGGGGTTTTAATTTTAAAAAGCTGTGTGTCCAGGCTGCCTAAAAATTTTGAGTTATTAGAACTTCAAATAATATGTTGATAGAACACTAGTTCTACAGGGATTACTGTAAGGAAGCATCATGATAAGCAATTTCTGAGTTAAAGGTAACCCAGCATTCTCGTCAATATGGACAAAAGTATGGGTTGAATAGTTAACCCATCTTGCCAGGTTAGATTAACCCAGTGTGTGTTCTGTCTAGTAGTGACCCAGTCATGTGGTTGAATACTATGCAAACTTGGTTGTTTTCAACCCAGCACCTTTAAGAGTGTATAGTCAGCACCTGATGGCCACTGAGTTAACAATAGTGCACTATGTAGTTCACATGGGTGCTGAAGGTACATATGACTAGGAGAGTACTTTCTATAAGCTGCCACTAAATGTTTTCCTTCCGCTATACGCAGTTATCCAATGGACTTTTGTGTTTTTGTGTATTTTTGGATTTGTGTAAACTGATTTGAAATCAGTATGTGAAAAATGAGGAAAAGCAATAAGAACAGGCTGACACATGTAAAAGGACACTTCTGTTTTACTAAGAAATTGACAGGTTTCTGTTTAAAACTATTCAGCCTTTATTAGTGCTGAAAGTCTGCACTGTACCGTCTGCTGACACTGTACTGTACATAATCAGTCAGTGGCTTGACAGGTTGTGTCAAAGGGTCTCAAATAGAAGGTCTTGTATTCATACCACACTGAACTGAAAGTTTCAGTGAAATTCAGACAAAGGAGTTATAAACCATGTCATCAGTCATGGCTTGTCCATGACAGAAGATCCAACCCTACTGCAGTTAATTGTATAAATTCTTCAAAATCTCTAACTATGCCTGACAATGTCGACTTTACACAATACATACATACTATAACACATGGCTATAGTAGCTCAAGTCGAATTCATTGTTTGAATGAGGGATGCATCAATACTGATACTCGTATCAGGTATTGGGTCCAATCCCATGCTCATTTACTCATCCACAACCTCAAAAAAATTAATACCAACATCCCGATACCCACTGATACCATGTGGATTAAGCCACGTGTAGCTGCCGCGCTATTGAGCAAATGCAGTGAAGGAAGTGTTACTGACTTTAAACATTCCACCTTGGCAGATTGGCAGTTTATAAACACATACAAATGTAATCACAACTGCTTCCCCAATATGGGTGGAGACTTGTAGGCTCACAAAACGGAAAAAGTCAACATTTTCTACCAAAGTCCATCTATGCTGACTTTACTCTGTTAGACTGGGTAGAATCACAGGGTATAAACGTTGGTTTTTAAAATTGTCTTTATAAAACAGGCTGTGGAGAAACTGTACTGTCCTACTGTGTATACTTTAGTGTATAATGTGGTTAGCCAAGCTGCTGTAGTTAATTTTCTCAGCATGTTCACTCAGTACTCAGAGCACAGCGTGTTATTTTGAATGAATCAGCTTTATTTTTAATCATCCGTAGACAGAGCGTCTGTGGAGGCTGCGTTTCATGTAGCAGGTCAGTCAGACGGAGCGTTTCGTACAGTGTGAGTTTATAAATCGTAGCTTTGTCTGAACACGATGGTCTATTCAAACGTTCAGTGTGAGTCATCAAAGAACAAGATTTCTAACATCACACAGTGTCTGTCTGGCTTTAGAGGACATTCAGCTACAGCTCAACCAGCCAATCAAAAGACTCGAACAAGACAGAAAACTGGAAGCGTGAGCTCCTCGCATGTGTTATCCTCGGTTGTGATTCCTGCTGTCGCTGTGCTGCTGCTGAAAGAGACGGATGAGGATCAAAACTATGAAACCTACTTCACTTACAGCTGTACAGAAGAGCTTTTCTGACGGGGAACTAAACTTCCACTGCAGCACTGCTTGATCTGAGATCACTGATGTAGCAGAGCGAGATAACGACCTTCATTTACAATCAGATAGATTTAATAATTTAACTGTTAAGATACATTACAATCATTTACACTAACAACTACTTTATTCTTAGTAGATCATTTGTTATGGTATCAGCAAGTGCTAAAAAAATGTGTACTCGTACTCTTACTCTGTGTGAAAAAAAATGGTATCCGTGCATCCCTAGTTTGCCCAGAGTTGTGGAGACCCTGGAAGTATGGCTATGCAGATGGCCACATGCAAAGGCTCTTGGTATGCCCGTGCACTCAGAGAAAGGGACTATTTGTACTGTTTATTGTTGTTGTCTGTTAGTTTAGGTTATGGGTAGGTGTTATTTATGATATTCTGTGTCGGGAAGTGGGGTTATTAAGTGGGAGTTTAGTGTAAGAGGGTCACTATCAGGGAGAAGTGTGTGGCTAGAGGTGACCTTCCCTGTGAGCTTGGTGCTCTGTATATGCTTTTCAGCTGGTGTGTAGAATAAACAGCACTTTTCACAGCAGATCTTGGCTACCCCTTGTGTCTTATTTTTTGTGACATTGGTGTCAGAAGAGGGATAGAACCCCTATGGTCTGGGGACAAATGGTGCTTCAAGAACCTTCCAGGCAAGCAGTGAGAGAAACAGAGCCTGGCGAAAGACTGTGATAATAGGAACAACGCTGAGAGGCTCCGCAAGGAGGATGGCTGGCAGTAAGACTGGATGGTGGAGCCGGTGTGGGAAGGCCCAGTAACAGGGCCAGCATGAGGACACTTGACAGTGAGGTCGAGTCCTGCATGGACAACAGACGGCTCATTACACTTGCCTTCACAGGCTCTCCGATACCTCTACTGTGACTTGTGCACTGAGAGGTTGCACATCACACAGCTGGAAGACAGCCATTGTCCAGATCAGGTCAGTCACCAGCCTTTCTGCTGGTGTGTTGAATAAACAGCACTTCTTCAGTCTTAACCGTTACCCATTCCTGAAACTGACAAAATACTTGTCTACAGTCTCCTTTATCCATGCATACAGTCAGCAACTGATCACAGCTGACTGCTGAGTTAACAGTTGTGTACTACATAGTTCAAATGGGTGCTAAAGATAAGTATGACTATGAGAGCATTTTCTATAAGCTGCTACCAAATGTTCTTCTGCTTTACACAGTTATCCACTAAGCATTTGTGGTTTTTACTGATTTTTCTATGTTAACTGTTTCGAAAAAGTATACAGAAAAATCAGTACATATACGCAAGAGGACACATCTGCCTTGCTAAGAAAATGACTATGAAGCACCCCAGTTTAGTTAAATGTCTTTTAGCATTAGAGAAAAACTGTAATGTATGTTGATGTGAGAAGAGCAGCTGGAGTGTTCAAGTGGTGTAAAAAAGTGTTTTGTATGTCTTGGTCTGTGTGAAGTACCATGCAATGGGCATTTTGAATTTGGAGAGATAATCTGCAAGTTTTTTTGAGATTTTGACCCCCTCTCTGGCCAGGCGGATGGTGCGCTGGAACAGATGGGACCAGGGCAGACGACCGTACAGCTTGTGAACACGCTCATAACCACGGATCTCACTGGGAACGCCGATCCACTGACTACCTACAGAGACAGAGAGAGAGAGACAAACAGAGAGGGAGACAGACAGACAGAGAGAGAGAACAGAGAGAAAGAAGCAAGAGGGAGAGTGTGAGGGTGGAGCAGACAACGGAAGTGAGAGAACAAAAGGAGAGAGAGAGAGAGAGAGAGAGAGAGTAAGGAGGAAGAGAGAGAACATGCATTAAGCCACAGTGTAACTGCTCGCATTTCACCTTTCTCACTGCTATGATTGCACTTCAGTGGTACGTCTGAAGTGCCACAAGACAGAAAGCAACATAGCTGTGCGTTGATTACATTTCAAGGTGAGCTGCTCACTATTCTGACACAAACTCAACATGTTTTTTAAATGCAAATAAATGCAAATCATGTATTGTTTTTCAGCAAAGAGGTCAAGCAACATGAAAACAAAGTGATTCCACGTGTTCCACCTATCACATGGAAAAGTATTATCATGTGTGCGCTTCTTTTCATGTTTTTTCCCTGTAGTGCTTGCATATTTGGCACCATTTCCTCTCGATAGGATTGGTAGCTCCCCACATAAAGCCACAGGAAGGGTATTTTGAGAGCCTAAAAACCCTTATCAGAGAGTAAGTTGTAGCAGTAAGTGAATATTCAGTACACAACATTAAAAACACAATAAAATGTTAGAGAAACTAAGTTACTACATTATACTAATGATGCGCGCATATGCAGTGGGACCACTCACTGAGCAGGACACTGTGGTGATTTTCCTCCACCTTTTAATATCAGGAGTAAATTTGCATCTTTCTTGGGGTCTCAAAAGATGTGATGTTGAGAGACTTCCTTTAACAATGGCTGCAGACACAGCAGCTAAGTGAAGACATAACTATCAATGAAATCTACCAAACGTCTATCAAAAAGACACCCTTTACTTATCATGAAACAGGCAAATAGTGACATTGTGCAAGATGTTCTCCGCCTTTAAAAGCGAAAGGAGACCAAAGAGTTTCACTACCCCTTTTTAAGAGCTAAAACCAGATAATGTGTAGTGAGGAGAACTGCAACTCAATAATGTCTTCTGGGTTTATCTGACACTAGAGGCCACTCCCGGGCGAGTCCAAAATACATGGGGCGCTATGGAGCTTCTAAGCAACATGGTAGTTTGAAAATGCTTAAATGTTTTTATACAGAAAGATGCACTAATTTTCTGAACAGGATGATATACAGTATTTCATCACTGCTGTTATATTTTTGAACACTTTTAATCTTGAGTTATAAAATTATGTACATTCATGACATCAGTTAGTGCAAACCTGTTTACTCAGCCAGTGAGCTGATGAGCCCACCAACCAGTCAGCACTCCGTAGCAGTAATGCTAGCTTTCTACTACCCAAAATTTTGTTTTTCAATGAAAACATCCTTCTACTTTCCAAAGTTAAGGGAACGTCCTGGAAAAAGAAACTTAGAAACTTTTTAAATATTTTGCTTTTAGCTGTTTAGCTACATTCTCTCCTATTCATTGAGGACTCATCCAGGTGGTTATCCAGACACATCCAGACACCAGACACTTATCCAGGTGGTTGCTAGTTGCTAGGGTACGGTTAGGTGGTTGCTATGGTATCTGTAGTGGTTATGTTCATGGCAATGTATTTGTTACAGAAATAAATGTTAATGAATAATTTTCTATGTAATGTGATTCCACATAACTTTTGTCCCAATTTCTACATTTTATGTGTGTCTATCAGCATCAGTATCCACAAAAATGTACATTTAAAATACTGGATGTCACTGTGGGTCCACAGTTCCCATATCAGCGCATCCCAAGTGTAATCAGTCTTTGGACTCTATTCTGTCAGTGCTGTACCTGTAGTATCAAATGAGCAGTTAGAGAAATCTCCTTTGAAGACCTTTGGAACAGTTTCTCTGGCATTTATGATTTTCACTGTACCTAAAAAATGAAAGTGAACATTTTCTGATCAGACTTTTATTATTAAAAATATGGAAGAAAGACATTGTACATACATATATATACAACTCCATTTCCAAAAAAGTTGGGATGCTGTGCAAAGTGTAAATAAAAACAGAATGCAATGATGTGCAAACCATTTAAAGCCCATATTTCATTGAAAATAGATCAAAGACATCATATTAAATGTTGAAACTGAGAAATTGTATTGTTTTTTGAAAATATATGCCCATTTTCAATTTGATGCCAACAACATGTTCCAAAAAGTTGGGACGGGGGCAACAAAAGGCTGGTGAAGTTGTCTAATGCCAAAAAAAAAACATCTATATTTTTCTGGGCAAAAAATGGGCCAAGCGCAAAATACGTATTTATTTATTTAACACATTAAACTTAAACTAGCTCTGCAATGTTTTCAGCTGTTTGAAGCTATCAGTGCTAAGTGGATTACCACTGACTCTCCTTTCTGTAAGTGATTGTTTGCACATTTACACACAAAAACCTTTAAAGAAATCAAAGAGAAAAGCTCTCCCATATTAACTTAATGCATCTATTTGTTTAATGATTTGCTGTTAAGAGCATTATACGCTTGATGTTTTGCCATTTTGGGCTTGGACCTTTTTTTTTGCCCAAGAGTGTGTACATATATATATACATATTCACACACACTTTCAAAGCCACTTATCCTTCTGGGTCGCAGTAGCCTATCCTAGCGGTCAATGGGCAGAAGGCAGGAAACACCCTAGACAGGTCGCCAGTCCATTGCAGGGCAGACAGACATATACATTCACACCCACACTCACACCTAGAGGCAATTTAGCATGTCCAATGGGCCTGACTGCATGTCTTTGGACTGTGGGAGGAAAAATGAATGACTTGTACTTAATAGCTGTTTTAACTAGAAACAAAAGGGTGGTCTCTGGTTTTTTCACAGTACTGCATGTCTCAGCCCTGCTTACCATTTTTGCCCATTATGGTGAATATGGCTCCTCCGCCAATGCCCATGCTCTGAGGGTTTACAACTGATGTGCACAGCAGAGCAGCTATTGCAGCATCTGCTGCCGAGCCACCTTCCTTCAGGATGTCTCTGAGAAACCAAAAGCAAAACAGCTAAACTGACTGCACCGCCAAAAACTCAGCAGACTAACTAGAAAAGAAACTCTGCACCGTTAGGACTATGGCAAAAAACATGTTTCTTTCAGTGTATTATCAAGATATAAATGTTGAACTGCACACATGCAAACAGCATAATGACTGGTTTAAAACACTCACCGCCCAATATCTGAGCACGTTTCTGAGTCAGCAGCAACTGCAGCTTTACTGAAACTTCCTTCAGGACACGACTTCTGATATCTGCGTTTCACACATATAATAACTGTGATTATAACACATATTAACAGCATGGTGGTGAAGATGCAGATGCATCTCTTTCCTCTGGCCATTACAGCAGGAAGATGAGCGTCCAGGTGTTAGTTAACCAGATCTTACACTATCAAAGTCATGCAGTGAATGTGGGTGCGAAGGCAGTAACACAGACTCCTCCTCTTTCCTCCTCTCACTGTCACATCCTGCCACACTGCAAAAAGTGATGCTTTGAATTTACTTGATTCAGTCACTTCATCCTATCCACTTGAATAAAATATGTATCATCAACACATTTACTGCCAAAAATTAATAAACTGAATCACAGAATTGTAATGATTATTTTTATTCATATAAATGACTGTACAAGGAGGTGCAGGTAACGGCATATAATGACAATACTGAATAAATATGTGCATATATTGGTACTGAAATAAATTGTCCAGGTGTGGAGTGTCCAGATGTCCAAGATGTGCGATGAGGTGTGCAGATGTGGAAGATATGGTACAGTAAGGTGTCCATATGTACAGATAGATAAAATAAACCTATGATTTAGGTTTTGAAATTATGTAGGCAAGGCCGTGTCACAACCTAATGCATTTTGGTTTGTGTTAAATAATTTTAAAAGTGTTTGAGCAAGATTTTTACTACAAGCAATATTTTTACTACAAGCAACCCGTACATCTCTGGTATAAATGACAACATAAAATTTGTTTCCTGCACCAGCCAAAAGTGGTAGCAGCTACACTCAGCACAACTCTAATAGGCCTTTCATATTCACTGCAATTGTGCCAAACATTGTTAGAACACTTTGACAGCCACATGCTCTGCCCCTCATATAGATCATCTGAGCACTATAGCATAATGTCAGTCCTTCTGACAGGGCTTTAGTCTCCAGCACCACCCAAGGCCTAAAAAAGCCACCCTGACCTGTAAGGTGGATAGTTATCGCAGAGTGTTGAATACATATAATCATATATATGTAGCTTATATCTTCTTATGTGAAGAAGCTCACTGGTGTTTATGAGGCCATCTTCTGACACCTGTAACTAGACAGTGATAAGAACTCTAGTAATCATGGGCCAGTAGCAGGTTGCTACATAGCCCCCGCTTCAAAGATCAATGTCCCGGTGACCCACCAACTTGAGCCAAGTCCCTGGGCTTGCGCAAAGTCCCAGCCCGCACAAGCGGGGGCACTGGCTCCTCGGCAGCGAGTGGCCCCAAGTCCTCGCTCAGGGCCACGTACCATCCCCCTCTATCACTGGTGGGCAGCCAAACTGCAGCTCTGTGGCCGTCCTCTCCATTGGTGCATTGGAGTGGAGGGACAAGAGAGCTCTGCTTCCTCCTCCTCTGTGCAATGCCGATTCACCAACCACTTTGCTGCTGTCTGTGGTGCCTCCATGCTGAAGCCTTTAACAGTTTTGCTTTTGTTTTTCGCTGGCACCACAGTTGTGCCTTGCTGCACTGCCTCCAGCATTGAGCCTTACCACACCTGCCCTGTGCCTCCTTGCACTGGTCCAGGCCTACAGGCATGCTTTGATGGCCTTGCACCAGCTTTGTCATTGGGTCAGCTCTGCCATTGAGCTTTGCCGTATCACTGGAGGGCACTATCCCACTTCTGACACCAGTGTAACATCAGAGCAGGAAACATAGTACTTCATACAAATGCTGTTTTAATGAACATAGCAGCCAAGCTCAGAACACCACAGACAACATGTTTATGCATCTTAAACCAACATCAACAAATATTTGTGCTATTTAAAGTCTTTCTTACTGCGAGTCTGACAGGTGTGTCAACCACACAGTCAACTTGGCCCTGCAAATCATGCTATAGCGTCTCAACAGTCCTGGACCCCATGTTAGAGTTCTGTTTGTGGACTCAGCATGCCACACTATAGTGCCAGAGTTGCTGCAGGTCAAACTGTCCCAGATGTCAGTGTCAGATCCCATCTGCTGGTGGACCTCCTGACATACAGGAGACAGCAGATGGAGCTAGGAAAACACATATCAGACCCTCTGAAACCTCAGTACTGGTGTACCACCATGTTGTGTGCTCTCACCCCTTCTCTTCAGTCTTTCCACAAATGACTGTGTCTCTAAGCAACCAGCTGAGAAGATCCTAAAGTTTGCAGATGACACCACTGTGGTGGAACTCATAGACGACAGGGATGAGTCTGCCTACAGAAGGGAAGTCGAGAAGTTGGTTTCCTGGCACAGCACCAACCACCTGCTGCTCAACATGCAAAAGACTGTAGAGATGGAGGTGGACTTCTGGTGAACCCTCAACCCTCCTTCCCTACCCCACCCCCCAAATATCAATGCCTCTGTAATTTCCACTGTGGAGTTGCTCAAATTCCTCAGCACCTCCGTATCCAGGGACCTGAAGTGGGAGAAGAACATGACCGCCATCACCTCTTCCAGATACTCCCCATTGGTAGAAGATTCAGGACCTTCAAAACCAGCCAGACATGCTGACAGCTTTTTCCCCAGAGCTGTAGCTCATTAACTACGGTAGACACTCACATTTTACACTCAAACTGACCAACAAACCTCCTCACTGTATTACAGTAACTCTGCTGTTAGATAATGCTATTTACACAGCTGTTAATTTTTTGCAAATGTTTATCATTCTGCAATATTCTGTAAGTAATAGTTTTTTTATAATATTGGTCATCAGACCTTCATATGTATTAATGTTAAAAATAAATATAAAATGTATCTGCATATGCACAGATACTCACACTTCTCTTTAGCTCCTCTGTGGCTCCTTATTATGCATTATCCTTAATTCTTCCAAAACAGTAGACAACAGTAGACTAAACATCATGTAAGGCTGTCAAACTTCAGTAAAAACCCATTTACATGGAACAGACCTGCTATATGAACAAATGTTTGATTTAGCTTCATGGTGGCTGTAGGTTATTTAGCTACACAAACAGAAAAGCGTTTAAACAAGACGAGCCTGAGTATAAATACTTTATTTAAAAATATCTCGAGTCCAGACTTGAGTACTACTGTCCTATGTAAACCATATGGGTACCAGCTGAGATGAGATGTTTGCTCAAATCTGCCCTGCTGAATCAAGACCTGTCACACTGCATTAGGTTTTAAATGCATGGACTTTCTTTGACCCTGTTTACACTTGGTCACTTCATGTGTCTTGAGTATCAGGATTATATCCGGATGAGGCCAAACCACATACAAATGCAAGTGTAAACGCACCTAAGATGCTTTTAAAACAGATACGAATCTGATCACTCAAACCACTTAAGGAGGTTGACTGAGACACATTTGAGCCACATTACAGCAGTGTAAACACACCTGTCTCTCGAAAACACATTCGCCAACCAAAACTCCTCCCAGTACAACTGAAACTCCTCCCTGTACAACAGAAACCCCTCCTAGTACAAGCGAAACTCCTACTGGTACAACCAAAACTCTTCACAGTGTAACTGGAACTCCTCCCCATGCATTATATCACTGGGTACATGATCCGTGTCCTTATCTAATCTGGAGACGCATTTGACTACCAAGTGTAAATGCATGTGGCTAAAATCTTATCAGGATACAATCCAGATACTGGACACAGGAAGTGGGAGATGGAGATGGATCTTGATCGTATTTAACACAACTGTAAACAGGATGTGTTTCCTTTATCCGTCTGTTCTTTTGTTGTTTAAACCCCCGGTTCCTATCACCACCAATGTAAAAACATCTGAGTCTCTACAATCAACTGTCTCACACCAAACCATGTCAAACACTTATGCAGAGCTTTGAAAAAACTGGTGGAATTCCCCTTTAAATGAACATTTAGGACACATTGCCTAATTTGACCAGCAGTGGTCAGTCTGTCCACATGTAATAATGCACAGAGCAACCTTTAATAATATATTTTTACTATACCCTACAATCTGTTGGGTGTTTAGGGTGTTTTTGGTTTAGAATATTAAGTAATGCTGTTCAGTAGGTTAAATTTATCACCGGTAATAGATGGATTTATTAACAGTATGTGGTCAACTTGGTTATATTAGTTATATATTACACTGAGTGAATAACATGCACAGTCTACAAAGAAGATACTGTAATTAAGACAAATACGACACTGTGGATGCTATCTGAATAATACCTGTCAGACAGAGAGTAACACAGAGAGAGAGAGAGAGAGAAAGAGCTAGGACAAGAGATGATCTAGGTGGCCATGTCCAGAAGCACTTAATCCGACTTTTTAATCATTTACAGAAGGTCTAATAATTTCTGTGTATTAAAAAAAATCACATATAATTTTTAGTACATTTTTATTTAAAAGAATTATCATATTTGATGTATTTAAACTCTGTCTTTACTTGCCCAACGGAAAACTGTCCAATCAGGATTCTTATCTCTGTGGTGTCTAGGTAGATACAGCCGTGCATTGGCTAGGACTTCAAGAGCTGAACTGAAGGCCTTACATGTTAGATTAACAACTAGCATAATTAGGAAGTGACAGAGGAACCAACCAATCATGATTTGGTTTACAATGGGAGGAATCAATTTAGACACTTTAGCTCTTCTGGAAGTTGTAGATAACTGATTGTAAACACAAGCTGTGGTCTAAGCAGTGTTCCGGTTAGTTGTTAGAAATGTAAAACAGTGGCAGCAGCTCTACGCCAGACCTCTTTACTGAAAGAGTGACTGTAACACTGATACATACAAGCTCAGATATATGATAATGTCTGTCACAAGCTTCACATAAAACATATGGAACGTCTTTTGCGAGCGAGCGCAAACATACTATTAGAATAGGTTGACCAGCCACACTCGGACAGTGCCTGTTTTTCTGTCCCCGGCTGCAGCTGTCCCTGGAAATGTAACCATTTTTTTATGTGTATAAAAACACTTTGGAAAGTGAAAGAAAGACCTGCAGCAGAGCAGACGGGCAGACATCTCACGTTATGCTTGTTTTGGCCAGCAGAGGGGGCTGCTGCTACTGACCACTTCTACCACTCTCTTGCCTTTAACTGCGTCCCTTTTCTCAGCCTCTATATTTGATATGTGGCATATGCTGATAGCAGCGTCTCTGTCTGTCCAAAACCAGAGCAAGGGGGTGTTTAGGGTCTGGATATCGGGCTATAGTGATGGGTCTCTTTTCCATAGTCTACCAGCATCACTCTCCATGGTAG